AAAAAATAGAGAGAGATAGTAATAAAAGTACTACCTCCGTTACCTATTATTTGCAACAAAGGAATATTTTATATTTCACAAATAATACCCCTTTGTTGCAAATAATAGTTAACGGAGGTTGTATATGGAAAAATAAAATTCTATATGGGGAAGCTAATTTTGTACAAATATTGTTGCAAATTGGTGGGTATTTTAATGCTAATGGGTCATTCTTTTGGGACTAAAATTAGGCCAAATGGGTCGTTTTTTTTCGAGGACGGAGGGAATACTATAAAAAAATAAAAAAAACACTAATTACATTGATTTACGCGTGTTTTTGTCATGAATTCCTAATTTTATACAATTTTCAAGAGTGTATTTAATGCTTATATATAACCCTTAGCTACATATAACATTACCCATTCTTTTATGCTAATTTGTAGTAGTTAATGTTTACTCCATGTCTATACTCTATTTTAAATTTAATTGCTAATGGCACGTATATTGTTATATGCACTCCTGCAAGTCTATAACCATTATAAAACATGCAAAAGTATTCACTGTAGCTGGTGAATAGTTATTTTGCGTGTTATTACATAGAAACCCCTGAATTAAATGAAATGCCGAGTTTGCCCTTGCTGCCAGTTGTTTCCTATCTTGCCATGTGTATGGAAGTCCAGCTGTTCTTCATGCCTTGGTTTGCCTGACAGCTAAGGTGCTTGTTGCTTGTATGAGTAGTTTTGTGTCTTGGATTTCTGATTCGGTTTTGCTTGGTTGCTTTGGTTTGGGTCTTTTGCTGGTTTGTTTTGCGAGCTTTTGGGCTTGATGATCTGGTCAGGAATGGAGTTCTCTTTCTGTGGCTCTGGTATGTTTTCCTCAATTGCTAAACATCGCCCGCGAATCTCCACATAAAGCCCACAAAATTAGAGTGAATTGTCACTTTTGCCCTCAAAGTAAAAAACACAATTTCTTCTCTCAATTCTCTACTTCCACTTTCTCTCTCTAAAAAACTTTCCGAGCGATGTCGAGGCGGCCCGGCAAGGAAGTGGCGGCACAGGCGGCGGGTGGACAGCGGTTTTCCGGCGAGAAGGTATTTTTTATTAATTTTGTGTTTAAAAATTAAAAAAAAAAGGTCGGAGGCGGTGGTGGCGCCTAGGCCAGACGCCACCACCACGGCGGCGGCGTCTAGCCCAGACGCCACTACCACGGCGGCGACGCCTAGGCCAGACGCCGTGACGGTGGCGGTGGCGTCTGGCCCAGGCGCCATAACCACGGCACCGGCGTCTGGCCTAGGCGCCGCCGCCGTGGTAGTGGCGTCTGGGCTAGACGCCGCCGCCACCGTCACGGCGTCTGGCCTAGGCGCCGCCGCCTTTTTATTTTTTTTTTTTTAATTTTTTTTTGGTTTTAAATTTGAAATTTAATTTTCGAAAATAATTATTTTTTTTTTTGATTTTTTTTTAAATTTGTTTTTCTTTTTTTTAATTTTAAATTTTATGTTTCTGATTTTTTTTTTTATTTTGTTTTAAATTTTGTTGGTTTTTTTTAAAAAAATTTTATGTTCCTCTTTTTTTTTTTAATTTTTAATTTTATGTTCTTGTTTATTGTTCTTGTTTTTTTTTTTTTTTTGAATTAGTTTTTTTACTTAAAAAAAATTTTATGTTCCCTTTTTTTTGTTATAAATTTTTTTTAAAATTTTGATGTTCTTCTTTTTTTAAGTTTTTATAATTTTATATTTTTCACTTTGTTATTGATGACTGCAACAGGCAGAGCTGTTATTGATGAACTGCAACAGGCAGAGCTGTTATTGATGAACTGGAACGGGCCCTTGAGCAGTGGCAGTGGGCGTCACAGAGAGATTATTGATATGTCGGCAGTGCATTTATAAAACATTTTCCTAGTTGTTTGTAAAAGTTAACATTATCTGTTCTTATAATTATTATTTTAAGTTCTTAGAATTTGACATTATATTTTTAGTTTTTATAACTTTTATTTTAAGTTGTAATTAGTGGGCATACGAAAACTAAATACAGGTTCACATTTAAATGGGAAAACTAAATACGAAAATTAGAATCCGAAAATTAAATAAATGGGAAAAACATAGCAATAGCAATATTAGGTCACATAGAAAAGGCAACTAGATTGTTCCACTGCTGCACCCGGTCATGATATAACGCATCCCAGCCCTCTACGCTTGCTGTACGAATGGTGTACCACGTTGGTATAATCGGTGGGACCGGAAAATCGGGTGACAGGTCCAGTCGGATGAAATGTCTGTATGACGGCCCCAGAAATCCAATAGCAACCTCTCTTACCGGTCTGGTGACGGTCTCACGCGAACACCAAGGCAGAACCGTGGTACACGGATAGTAAGCTCGACCATGCAAACCAAGGCCGAAATGCATCACTGCACACTTGTAGATGTTTGCAACGGCGAAGAGATCAAGGGGCGCGTCGAACCAATGATTTTGACCGCAACGTCCTCCTCCCCACCGGATACGCTGCAGAGACCTATCCAAGTCCTGTCCGTACACGTGGCGATAAACAGCTCGGTTTGAGGCGATTTCACTGTACATCAACTGACGCACTAAACCGTAGTTGTCTTCACCCATCTGAAACACATCAGCCACAACCCGAAATCCACAGTTACCATCTGCAACCACATCATTCCACCCGTCCAGGAACGGCATCATGATGTTAGGGATCCTGTCTTTATATGGAAAATGTTCAATGTCCATTCTGCCTGTTGCACACATCAAAAAACACAATTAACAAGTTAGCAGAAAACTAAACAAACACTCTAAAAAGTAAATTAAACTAAAGTACCGTACCGGTGCCGGGCATATTCACCGACGAAGATGTTTGACTACCACTTGATGACGATGTACGACCACGGCACGTGGCGATAAATGAAGAACTTGGTTTGTCCAATATTTGACAAACTTTTCCCTCTGAGGCACCCACTGCTGCATCACATAGTCTACGATTGCCGGGCACCATTGGTATGCATCCTTGAAGTTATCCAAGGCTCGGTCGTACTCTGCCTCCGTGGTAGCTTGCAGGATCTTCCGCCACTTACCATTTACCAATCTCTCTGCTGAATCTAAGTTCTTGTTGAAAAGGTTGTAGGCTTTGACTTTCACGCATTTGTTGATGTGCCATGTGCACAGTAAATGGCTCGACTCCGGAAACAGCTCCGCTATAGGGGCAAAGAGACCTCCCTCACAATCGCTGACGATGGCCGATGGCTGAACACTTGGGCCGATGTAATTTCTCAACTTCTCCAACACCCAACGGTAACTCGCAACCGTCTCATCCTTCATAACTGCATAACCAATCAAAAAGTTCTGGTTCGTTGGAGTCATCCCAACCATCTCAACCAGTGGAAACTTATACTTGTTTGTCTTGTACGTTGAATCGATCAGAATCACAGATGGCCAAGACGAAATCATATCAGCACAATCAGGATGCACAAGGAACAAATGAGTCACCTCCGATGTGTCTTCATCAGATTCAAACCAGTACAGGTAACCACGTGCTTGTGCCTGGTGTAGAAGCTGCTGTATAGGGTTCCTTCCCTCTGACCGTTCAAACCTCAATTTATGTCTGACGTTGTAGATGTGTCTTCGGTTTGGCTGGTCTTCAGGAAATTTCTCCAACACAGATGCTAATATTTTAGCAGGCTTCACTTGAGCATCACTCATTTCTTTTACAATTAGTTTCGCAGCAGGACTTAGGCCACTTAACTGTCGATGACCCACTTCATATGCGATCATCTCATGGTTGTGATACCCCCATTTACCGTAACTCTTCACTTCCCAACCGTCACCCCTTTGCTGTTGTCGAACCTTTACTCTGAACTGACACCCACAACCTTTCCGCTTTGTATCAAACCGAATCGCTTGACTGAAATCTCGTTCCTCCCTTTTGCGATAACGGTCGCATCTCAAAATGCGATCCATTCTACCATCCCGTTGAGATTTATGAGTTGCTACTACTAAACAAAAACCTGATCTAATTGCAACCTGTTTCGCCCAATCAACCGCTTGTTGAGCATCTTCGAACAGACCATCGTGTACAAAAATCCCACTATAATCATTTCCGTCTCCACCATAATCCTGCAACAATAACATATAAATATAATCACATAAGAGTAGATTAAATTAATACATTTGACACAACATTAGCACAAAAGCAAAAACAATAATAAATTATAAACAACAAACAAAGAAATAAACAAAAAGTATTAAAAAAAAAAAAAAAACAAAACACAAAAATAAAAAACATAAACAAAACTTTAGATTAAATAAATAAAAATAAACCAAAAAAATAAAAACAAAAAAAAAAACATAAAACGAAAAAAATTGTAAAAAAAAAAATAAAAAATAAATAAATTAAAAACAAAAACAAATTAAAACAATTAAAAACAAAACAAAAAAAAAAACCAAAAAAAAAAAGAAAAAAATTGTAACACAAAAAAAAAAAAATAAACAAATTTTAAATTAAATTAAAAAAAAAAAAAAAAAAAAATAGTGGTGGCGCCTAGCCAGGACGCCGCGACCGTAGTGGTGGCGTCTAGCCAGGACGCCGCCACCGTGGCGGTGGCGCCTGGCCAGGACGCCGCCACCGTGGCGGCGGCGTCTTGGCCAGACGCCACGGCCACGGTGGCGGCGTCCTGGCCAGGCGCCAGAGCCACGGTGGCGGCGTCCTGGCTAGGCGCCACCACTACGGTCACGGCGTCCCGGCAGGACGCCAGCCGCCAATTCGTGGTTTTAGATGGCTTCGTACCTCCTTTTCCGGCGTCAACGGCGTCTCTCCGGTGCATCTACCCGACGTTGAGGGCTCTTCGGTTTCACTCGGCGATCCAGTCCTGCTCCACATTTTTTATGAGTGAAAAATTTTATTTTCGGTAAAAATTAAAACAAGGGCAATAATGTCAACATTTTTAAAAAATGTGGGCTTTATGTAGAAAAACGCGGGCGATGTTTAACAAATCCCATGTTTTCTTGCTCTTTTTGTTATCTAGGTTGGGAGTATAATTACTGTTCCTTTTCCTTGCATTGGAATGCCTTACTCTGCATTTTCTAGGGTTATTGATGTCGGTGTGCTTGTTCGCTAAAGTGTATATAAATAGCTTGAGGGTGTCTATTTTTTTGGACATGGCAAGCGATCCGTGCCTAGTAACAGTTTCTTTTTGGTGGTGGATGATTTGAGTTTTTTCCTGTGCACAGTAGTTTATGTCAAAGGTGGTGCTTTGCTGTAGATGATATTACAATACTTATAGTACAGTCTTAATTTCTCCATATGCGCTTTGGTTCGGATTGTTCTAGCAAATTGAACCTTAACTTACTAACAGATTATTATATGTAATGTGATATAATGACTAATATTGAATATACAATTATACAATGTGTGGATATGAATATAATAAGTAGATAGGTTTAATTGTTGTGGTAATAGGAATATCAACAAATAAATTGATTTATTTGCATGTTCTTATTTTAGTTCTTTTTTGGGGTTACAGGTTCAGTGATATCATTGTTTGTGGTGTTGTTGTTGGACATTTGTTCAGGTACTTCTTTTGCTTTCTTTTATGTATTTGATGTTGTATTGTTAGGACCATGTGTTCTATGTGGTGCTTTACTGGTAGCTTAGCTGCATATAACAATTTTTGATTTATTAATCAAGTGTTTATGTAGTCTGTTTCATGTGTGATTTTAGTGAAAGCAGTACCTGTTAACTATCGTATATAGAGGAAAAGAAATATATGTCTGGTTGTTTTAAGATGGCATTGGTCTTTAATTTTAACTAAAGATGGAGTATGAGTGAGTGTTTAGCAATGGTAAACAAGGCCACTAAACCCTACGAACACTGGACTGTAAAAATATAATTTAATTCCACTAATAAGAAATCTGATAAGAAAAGAAAAGCTACAATTCAAAAAATTTTGGGCTGAATATCGTTTTTGCCATTGCAGGTTATGGCTAGATGGTCAAATAGAGTTTTTGTTCCTTTTCAGCCTCTTTTGGAAAAGGTTATTGCTTGGTTGTTGTTTCCATCACCGGTGTATGGATTTATAGATGTTGATAAGAATAATGTCTTTGTGCAGGTTAATAAGCCAAACTCTCGTACAAAGTTTATTTTCTATTGTGGAGATGCCAGTTCAGTTGAAGAGTCTCGTGAAAGAGCGGCCCACAAAGCTGTGAAGAGATTGATGTGTCGGTTTAGTGTGCGCGTGTCTGATTTCACTTATGAGCGCATTAAGATGTATCGATTGTGTGTGAATTTGTTTAAGAATAGATGTGATGAGTTAGTGCAGGACAGAGAAGATTTAAGTCGCATACGTGCAGAATGCAGTACAAGGGAGGATGCATCGTTTCATGATGTTCATGTTTCGTTGGATTTTGCACAGGTTTTGGGAGTTTTAGTTAGGAAGACTGGCGTTTCTGTGACTGGCATTGAAACCACTAGATTAGAAGGACATGGCTATATGTCTTGGTTAATGGTCACCTGCCCTCGTAATAGTATTTCTATGGAATGCATTTTTAGTGACCCCTGTCTTGAAGTGCACATTGCTGAGCAGCGAGTTGCAAAGAAAGAATGTTTCTTTGTAGCTTCTGTTTGCAATCTCGAAATAGTGGATGCTTACTACGGTTCTGCGGCAAAGATTAGTGGGGAATGTTCTTTGCTAAGGGAGAAGTATCTGATTTTGAAGGGTCATCTTGAATGCTTAGAGAGCAATTCAAAGCAAGCTGATTCTGTTAATGGATTAGGAAATGACGCATGTGTGACGCCAACTGATGAAGCAAATCAAATTCCAGTTTTAGTTCTCCCACCAAATCTTCCAGCTAAGCGTAGGATTAATAGCAGTGAGCCATCTACCAGTGGTGTGGGAGTGCAGATTCCTGACAATCTTGTTCTTGGTCTGTCGGATTTAGAAGCTGTCTATAAATGTGCTAGGATTGAATAACTGTTTTTAGTATGCCTAACTATCTTTTGGATTAAGGTGATTGAGGGTATGTAAGCAACTGTTAATCCTTTGGTTGGGATATAGTAAATTAATTAGGCAGCTTTTGTCAATTAGTAATAGATGTAATAGTTGCTGTCATGTTGCTAAAATCCTGTAGTTTAGTCCTTGTGTTGTAATGATGTTCCTACCTTGACTGTACTGCTATTATGGCTTCATTTGAATGAATATCGGTTTTCTGTGTTTCTATTTTAGTGTGTAAATTACTTTTCTTTCTGCCTTAATGTACTTTCTTTGATTATCATCTCTGTTGCATGATTTTTTGCTTTTTTTTTTTTTGGTGTAACCTAATTTAGTATGTAAAGGTTGTTGTTTCTGTTTTTATGTACTATTTTACAGAGGGTTGTTTTGTTTGTTATTTTCCTGCAATTAATGGTTACTTGTTTTTACGAGTATTACAGATGTAATCAACAGAAGGTTTTCAGAAATTCTATTAGGTTCCAATTCTTCAAAACTGCTCTATATTGGTGGAAATGGGTATTGCCCTAGCTGAACTTAGTTTCTCTTTATCTTAGTTGATAAATCTGTGTTAGTGTATCATTTCTACCATATAGTAACTGCTGTATACTGTGTGTTAGATTGTCGTTATGGCATTCCTCGCTTATCTCGGAACAGCTGTAGTAGATTGAATAGGGCAGCACACAGAACATCGCAGTCAGTGTTTGCTAGGTATATAGTTTCATCAGATGTTAGACCATTTAGGATTGCCATTATTGTGCTTGTGATAAAATTGACTTGTCGTATATTTCCAGTCCATCTTTACCAGACACTCGGTGTGCTGCTAAGCGCTCTCGACAAAGTTCTACTTCAAAACGACAAAAATGTATACAAGAACTTAGTATGTCACAGCTACATAGGTACGCTGTATTAATTGAAGTAGGAATCTTTATGCTCATCAGTGCTGTGATGCATGTATTATAATTTCAATAATTAGGTCAGATGCCATACTAGGACAATACTTGTTCTGCTTCATTATCGTGCAGATGCCATAGTAAGATGATCTTTGTTCCATGTAGTGGAGCAGACCCAACAGTACCTGTACCTTCTAAAAAGAAGACTAAACAAACTCATATACAAGGTAAATAGGTATACTTATTATGTACCTTGTGTTGTTTATTACTGTGTTTGATATCAATTAACCTATGTGCATGTCTTTCCCTGTGTTCCTGTAAGATATCCTTGGTGCTGCTATAGATCGGCAGCTTCCAGTGCAGCCTTTCAGACTTTCTATGCCTGTTTTTTTGTGACAAATGTGGTGCGAAGAAATTTATGTTTGAATCCTTGCATTTCTGTTGTGGCAATGGAGACATTATGATAGCTGCAACTGATTATCCTCATGAGCTTGTTTACTTGTTTACTTCAAAGGATGAAGGTGTTGTGCATTTTCGAAAGTATGCTAGATTGTACAACAATTTGTTTGCATTTAGTTCATTAGGGGGCCATTATTATGCAAGCACTTACAAAGGGATTTATTTATTCAAGCTGCACGGCCAAATGTATCATTTTGTGCCGGATTTATTGCCCGATGATAGCAGCCCTAAGTATCTGCAATTATACTTCTATGATGGTCAACATGAAGCAGAAAATAGAGTTGGCTGTTTTCCTCAAATAAGAGAAGATGTGGCCAGCATTTTTATGCAGGTATCTGAAAAAACCCGTATGCTATCTTCTTTCGATCTTTACGAGACAGGGTTATTGATGCAGATACACAAATTGTTCTTAATCGAAGTTCAGTGCTTGATCAGCGCATTTATAATGCTCCTGCTGTTGATGATGTTGCTGTAATCTGGCCAGAAAACTATTCATCAAGCGAAAGCTTAGGCCCTCATATATTAGTCACTAGAAGATCTGATGAGTCTCACCGAATTTATCATAGTTATGGTTTCTATGATCCTCTTCAGTATCCGTTGTTATTTCCTCGAGGAGGATGTGGCTGGACTCAAGGCCTTAAAAAAAATTCTCATCCAAGTAGGAGAACAGCTGATTCGATTCCAGATCCTATAATGTTGTGCGCTGTGCATACTGCAGAAGATTTATTAAGTCAGGAAGAAGCCCATAAGTATTTTAGGTTTTATAAGTCTTACTTCATTTATAAAGCATGAGCTTGGTTCTACTTTTTAAAAGGTTTTTAAAACAATTTCTTATGTCTTGTTGCATGTTTGTAATATGGGCTTCATATTGTTGTTTTTTTTTTAACTCTTTTTCCCAATTTTTAAGTACATGTTCAAAGAGGAAAAATACTAAGCAGACAAGTTCATTTCTGCTAGGGAATACTATGCATACAAGCTGTAAATCCGACCAAACAACATGCTGCTACGAGCAGGTAGATGCTTTCAGCAGTACATAGTAGATATGTATGTAAAGATTGAAAATACCAGGCTTGATTACTTCAGAAACAACCAGGAAACAATAAGGGCTGATTTGTATAAAGGTATATTGGATTCACTAGATTCTGGAGAAACTCTTGGTCATAATGTTGGTCGGAGAGTTATATTGCCTCCTACCTATATTGGTGGTCCTCGGGATATGAAGAAGAGGTACTTAAATGCTATGGCTTTAGTACAACGGTTTGGTAAACCAGATCTTTTTGTAATGATTACATGTAATGCTAATTGGCCTTAAATCAAGGCCGAGCTAACAACTGGAGAGACAGCCCAAGATAGGCCAGACTTAGTTGCTAGAATTTTTAAAGCGAAGTTGCTTGCGCTGAAAAAGGAAATTATAGAAAAGAAAGTATTTGGGGAAGTCGCTGCGATGGTATATGTTGTCGAGTTCCAAAAAAGAGGTTTGCCGCATGCTCATTTTTTTTAATTGTTTTAAAACCTGAGTACAAGCTGAAATCCCCTGCTGACTATGACAGATTTGTTTGTGTTGAAATACCTGCTGAAACTAATCTTACCTTGAGAAGAATTGTATTGGCCCATATGATGCATGGTCCTTGTGGTATATTGAATCCTGAATGCCCATGTATGCGGAAGAATGGCATAAAGCTCAGCTGTAAGAACAAGTACCCCAAGCAGTTCCCTATAAAGTTAAGTTTTGCAATGACAATTAATAAGTCACAAGGACAGACTCTAAGTCAAGTATCCATTTATCTTCCACAACCATGTTTCTCCCATGGGCAACTTTATGTTGCACTATCACGAGCCAAGAAAGCAAAAGATGTTCGTGTCTTTACAACAGGCAGTACAGCTCAGTGTTCTGCAAACACAGTAAAGAATGTGGTGTCTTTTGAACTTTTATATCTAGTAGGCATAATCTGAAAGGAAGGTTCAGCAATATGACTAATTTGCTCCGTTGCTGAAGGCAACTACAAAACGATCTAGGATGCTGTTAATGAACCTTTATAGGTAGGCCGGTCTTTTCTTTTATGTAGCTATATAGTTAGTTATTAGATTTAGTACTACTCAACCTGTATTTCCTTTCCCGCAGTTTGGTATAACTTCTTACCTTATGATGCTATACCTTATACAATACATTTATACTTACATTAGAGCAATTGGCAGCACATTATTCTTTTCTTCAAACACGATAGACAATGAACTTGATTATTACTTATATGGGTGTTTTAGATGTTAACAATTAAGTTTTTTGCTTTTAGCTTCCTTGAATTTGTTATGTAGATTTTTTCCCTTTTTTTCCCCTCTTTTTTGCCTGTGCTTGTATGAATGTGTAGACACCTAAAAATGTCTCCCCAAACCAAACCCGATGATGAACAACCTTTCACCGCCATTATTGGTCGGGTTGAGTATTTAATCTTGGAGTGCTTAAATCCATATTTCCATTTCATAAACCAACCCAACTTCTATCCCATTTCCCCAAACCATAACTTACTTTCCTCTTTTCGTGCCTTTAAACCCAAAATAATTCATTTCGTGTCCATTAAAATCATTCATTTCGTGTCCTTTTTATAAAAACGTTTAATCCAGTTATTTTGGTCCATAATCTGGGTCCAATGATTAAATAGTTGTATGGGGCTTTAAAAGAGCTTTCCAACGATATATTATAAGCCCAAATCCGTTATAACGAATAAGTTATGGCCAAAATATTAAACTGAGCCCAAACCGAACCTAAGCCCACCTTACCTACGACCCAATGATCATGTAGAGGGTCAAAATTATTTAATCTCATTCCTAAACCAATTAGGATTAATTGGAAGCTTCTATAAGTTTCTAAAAGATCTTAATTATCCGTTTTGAAAAGATAAGATTAAAGAGTTTGAAATTGAATAAAACTCCTTTTTTTTTTAAGTCCTAATTCTATTTGAATTAAAAGACGTTCAAAGATAGACAGATATTATTTTTGTGACTCATATTTTTTATCCAAATTTTATATGGTTGGATAGCCCTTGAAATTATCTTTCCAATGATATATTATAATATCAATTCCAAGCTATAACGGAAAATATATGAATAAAATGTCAAACTCTATCCAAAACTGACACCGTCTCACTATTTCGGCCATATATTTTATTATAAAAATTATTTAAATCTGATTCTAATTGGGTTAGAAAGTAGACTTCAATATCTTTCTAACGATATCTTAATCATCTTATTCCGATTTCTGTATCAAAAGATATGATAAAAACAAAAACCGCAAAAACTGCTGTCTATCGCAAGAGTTTTATCCGATTCGAATTCTTATCTTTTCTTGATTCTTCGACCCTCTTTATTCTCTATAAATAGACGTCATATCTCCCCCTTTTTTGGAATCATCAACAAGCTTGATCATCATATCATTCTCTTCTCCTTCTTTAAGCCTAAACACTAACCTCCCTATTCTTCCAAAATACTTCCCTTAAGCACTCCAGGGAGTTCATACTTAACCCAAAGTTCTATACTTAAATCAAAGGCGTGAAAGGTATAAATAACTGAGGGTTTGGACCAAATCAAATCTACATTTATTTAATTTAATTTTCATTTGATTTATATTTTTTATTGAAGTTACTAACAGTTTATTCATGATGTAGCAATTCAAGGAAACGCGGAAAGTGAGTAATTAATCACTTAATTACTCTTATTATTCTTGTTTCTAGTATCATGATTAGGTTATTATTATTATTTGATTTGACTAACACTATTATTGTTAAATTGCTTCCAATATTAATGTTGTTTTTATTATATTATTTTTTATGATCACCATATTGCATGTTAAAGGAAATATGTAATTGAAAATCACGCGTAATAAGATAATTTGGACGACCGGTTTAGGTTCCTTTTTAATCTTGTTGCTTAATTGAAGTGATCACGATATTTTAGAATTATGTGTTGCATTAATATTCAACCAATTTAACTTAATAATAGTTTGGAGCAAATTGAATTTTTGTTTGTATGCCTTTGAGATCGCAGGAATCACTTTTCACTATAAGAATCGAGTAGAGGCCAATACGGGCGAATGTGACTCCATGACTCACTTAGTACCATCATCCTTGATCCTCCTTTCGTGGTTCCGAACCATATGGAATTAGTAATCTCATGGATTATGAATGGGGTGTAACCTTCACGGGTCAATCGTTGTTGCCTTCGTTGTCCCTTTATTCGTGGTTGCCTTTTATGATCCGTGAACGGTTTACAAGTTCCTTAAAAACTTGTTGGTGGCTCCCTACTTTCCTTGTCCCTAATCGTATATGTCAATTCCCACTTCCTATGATTGCCAAGCATATTCACCACATGCTTTTACGTAGGCGCAATTCGAACGACGCCTACAGAATGTTTACTGCTTTTTTACAAGTACATATTCTCCTCTCCTTATTATGTCAAATTTGGTGATTAGTTCAAATGGGTTTGGTGAATTAATGAGTGAATTGAATGAATTAGTATGTTAATTATTGTATAGTTGATTTGTAGTAGTTCCTCAATTTGTGGGTTGTTTAGCTCTAACATATTGCAGAATGTTTTAAGTTTTTCCTTTTTTACAAATATTTTTTTTGCATTCCCCTCTTTTACAGTACTATAGATTTAGAATTTAATATGAAAAACTCTAACAGATTGCATATATTTTGAAAATGCAGCAACTCCAAATTTGTTCAACAATGTCGATTTGTTTCCATCATATTTTTGGATCCCCTTGCTAGCAAGACAGTGTAAGTTGCCCATCTTCCTTTTATTGAATAGCTAAGACAGTATACTTCTTGTGCTTATTTTGCATTAATATGTTATACTTAGTATGGTCTAAGCAGCGAATGTACTTACATACTGATGTACCACAGTAATCAAGACAACTTGCTATACATGTCAAGCATTGTTCTATTTTCACAATCTTGCTTGTAATTATGTAGTGCCTTTAAATGATACAGTCTTCAAGCTTTTACTTAAATTACTCTGTTTCTTAAACTCAGGTTATACTTACTGCTATATGCTTCACCGAGTTAGCTTTTCATGGGTGAGGTGTATGCTACAGTCTGAAGTTGGGTTGTATACTTTCATGATTTGTAAGGTAAAGCAGTTATAAACCATATATTATTAGTTTAACAACTATTTTACTATAGATGTTGTGTATAATTAGTAAAATTAGAATGCATTTTCCGAGTCACACATTTTATTCTCATTTTTAACAAAATAAAACAACAAATAATTAGTTACCATTTCGAAGAATGTGTTTAATATGTCGTGTTATATTTAGTTTCTTACTTATAGTTCTAATAGCTTGTTTTGATCTTAGAGTTCTTTGGTATCTTTAATAAAATATAAATGGGCTTAGTTGACTCTAGCCCACAACAAAAGTACTAAGAAGGCATGAAAAATTACCTTATTTCAAAATTGGAATACACTTTGTATTATATTATAAAGTAAGTAGCAAGTACAAGTCAACTTTACTATTCATAAAACAACTTGTTTTAGAATAGTACACAGCTGTACTCCTCTTTCACTTTAACCACAAATAAATCGAAAATTTTACATTACAAGTACTTGAAAATTATCTTAGCCATAATAAGTATTCCCTTTTTACTTAATAAATAAGAAAAAATTGTACTTAGCAATAACATTATGCTTTCTAGCTGTACCCAACCAGCTTAACCAACAGTAGCTTCTTAATCTTAGCCGTTAATTCGTGGGAGAAGGTAGGTTAACTTCTTCCCCTGCTTTAGCTATAAATACTAAAGAAGTTCTCACTTTTTGGAGCAAATCTTTTTATTCCCTGCCTTATCATTCTTAGTCATGGTATATTTTTCTCCTTTTATGGAAAATCTTTGTGCTGCTTTCATGTTAACAGTTGTTACTGTTACTGTTATTCAAAGATTAAACTAAATATCAGTGCATGAAAATCTATCTTAATAAAGCCACGATTTTCTTTTTTTTTTTTTTTTTTGATGTTGTGTGTATGCTTTGCACACTAGTACAAAAACTAGAATAAGAAACGCAAGATATAGAACGGTTAACTTAGATATGCGTTCTCCATGTTTATATAGAACGCCTGTCTTAATTAACCGTTCTATTTGATTTTTTTTTATTTTATTAAATTGTGATTTTATTATATAGGGAACGAATTTCTTAGTTAACCGTTCTATTTGATACATCTAAATTTAACACTTACAATATAGATCGCCCCTCCTAGTTAACCGTTCTATATGTTTAACATTATTTTTTAAGAATAAAATAAAAATAAAAATCTAACCTATCAAGAGGCCCAAAATTCTAACCCTAACTCCTCCTTCCTCTTAATTAAGATAGCCGTAATCCGTTTCCTCATCCTCTCAAGAACTTCTTCCCTCCTTTGAAACCCTTACTTCTTTCTCATCTTCTACCTTCATCCCTCAAAGTCCGATCCTAGTAACTCCGGCTGAGGTCCGATTACCCTCTTCTCCGTCATCTTCTTCCTATATTAACAACTATCCTATTCGCTGTATCGCTTTGTTTCCAACCCCAACTCCGATTAAAATCTCGATTTTGCTCTGTTTATGCAGTATGGGTCTTGATGCAGTACGGTGCTTTGTTTCAAGGTAGGTGGTGGCTGAGATTGAATTGATTGGTGGATCGTTTAAGGTGGTTAGAGGTGTGCGAATTATGAAGTGTATTTTAATTCTAAATTATTAATTTTAGGTCTATAACTTTCATTAATTGATTTTTATGTTATGATTTGAATTATAATTTCTGATTTTTCATCTTTGATTTGTGGGTGTTTGGTGCGGCTTCACTATTGGCGTGCACTATTGCTGGAGGTGCTGCGGTGTTGAGGTTATTGGAGACGTTGCGGTGCTCGATGTTGGTGGAGATCAGATGTTGCAATGGTCGAGGTTGGTGGAGGCGTTGCTAATGCTTCAATTTGGGGGAAGCGCTGCTGGTGGTTCTGGTTTTTGAAGCTCCGTTGCGGTTGAATCGGTTGAATTGGATTATTAAGGTGGAGGTGGTTCGAATTTCATGGTTGCACTTTTAAAGTTGTTAGCAGTTTAGCACATTGATAATTATTAAGTTGGTATAGAATTGTATCAAAATAAAGAGTTGAGATGTAATTACTATGTATTTGAATATAAAGGATACTTCGTAATAAAATATATTTTTAATTTGATATTTGACTTTTACCATTTCAATTCTATTTGATTTGATTTATTAATTAATGGTGTTGATTAGCATATATATGCAACCTCTGTTATAAAATAGGATAGAGAACGGTTATCTCTTGGATATAGAATGCCTCCTGTATCCGTTCTATTTATCCTTGCATATAGAACGCCTCTTGTATCCATTCTGTAAACTTTACACATCGCTTAGCAGAAGAACGCCTCTGAGGCGTTCTATAAGGCCAATTTTAACCGTTCTTTATTCCCTTTTTTGTAGTAGTGGCAACTCTGTTTTATTCAACATCTGTAATTAACGATACCTTATTTGCTTTAACTGCATGTACATCTTGAGGCTTACCTTTTATACTTGCACTAATTTCTGAAACAAGATACACTTTTGCTTTCATTAGCCTTATAGACTGTTGCTAAAATGTATATACTTTTTTTTTAAAAAAAACAAAATTAATGAATGTCAGAACAACCTTCTAAATTTGCTCATTATAAGACATATCATTGTCTATTATCGTCTTCTTATAATTTTTACATGCACTGGTTTACTTTTTACAGCTTTCAACTCTTGAAGTCCAGCATAGCTTACTTCTAGATCTATATGTACATTATATTAATATCTTATTTATCTATACTTACTATTTTGTATATCATGTATTGTAGACCATGAACACACCTCCAAAAATGAAGTTGGAACCAGTATACTTAGACGAGCTAACTACTCAAAGTAAGGACTACAAGGTGAAAGTCATAGTCGCTGAAAAGGGAAGAGCTCAACCTTCCCCTAAAAAACCTGGTGTGATATTTTAAACTATCATCTTAGAGGACGAAAAGTTGATTATACTTTGCTATATGTTCGTTCTTGTAAAAAATATAAAATCAGCTGAAATTCAAATATAATGCATTCAACCTTCTACTAGATATAGAATATCATGCAGACTGCTTTCTTTGACTGAAATAGTACAAATTTTAATATACATAAGTATATAAAACCTGATTACCATAAAGATGTATAACAATTGTACATTTTCAGCTATGTCTTATGTGTTATGTGTTTACCAGTACAAATAATAGACTGTGTTTCTTGTACTTTGCCACCTCTATGTATCTTTATGACATAACCCTAACACTGATTTCTGTCGTATCTATTTAACCAGAAAAACAAAATGCGATGTGCTTTATTTGGAGATCAAATCGAAGCATATGAAGAGGTTCTCAAGCCATCTAGTCAATACGAAATTTCTAAGGCTCCTATAACAGCTGTAGATGATCAATATAAATTCAACTTGGAAGAACTTCCATACCAGATGACCCACCAGACTATTATTCAGCGTTTAAATCCTGAGAGCGGTCCAATCAAACCGAAGTATTAGCCTCTGTCAACTATTCCAAGATCACCTGATCCAAATGGAAGATATGGTATCTTAGATTTTACATATTTAATGCACATTCATACTTTGATTCCCAGCTTACAAACTTGTCTACTTTCCATGATATTTACTAATGTTCCTTTGCCAAAATTAGATATAGTTGGTGTAGTTCTCTTTGTTGAAGAAGTGCCAAGGATGATACCTAATGCAAGAGGTTGAGACAGTCCAGTTCGAGAAGTATCTATCACTGACACTAGGTAAATTTACAGTTATATAAGATAGTCTGCATTTGACCCCTTATCATAGTAGATTGTCTTAGATAACTTATAACATTCAGTATACTACCAACCAGCCAAGAACATGCTATGACAATCTCTACATGGAACGATCTTACTAGGAAACCTTGTGATGCTATGAACAACTGGGCTGAAAAATTCAATGTTGTTGGATTTACTGCACTTAAAACCCGTCACACAAGAGGTGAAGTTAGTAGCATTAGTGCACATATCAAAATTACCATTGCCTATAAAATATTGGATTACTTAACTGCTTGTTTACAGGATTCACTTTGAATACAACAATGTCAACTAGAATAATCATGAATCTTAAGGGAGCAAGGGCAGATATGCTTCGAGAATGGTACTTACTGTGTTTTATTTATTATAAGTGTAGAATTAAGACACAATTAAATCACCACCTAATTGAACCCATTTTTCCGTTTCAGGTGTAAATTATATCAGCATGTATTGCTAGACAGACAGGAGAGAATTCTGAACGTGAGATATCCAAGCACAGATAAGAAAGTCGTGACAATAGCTGAACTAAGGAGAAAAAAGGTTAAACCTTTTTAAAGTCATTGCTAATTTTACTTTTTTTCTTTACAATGCATATTATTCTATTAGAGTATTGATGTTAAGTGCTATCTAATATGTGATTGCTTATATTAATTCAGGCAACTAATGCAACTCCAGATGAAATTGCTTGGATCAAGGTTATAATACCAAAAGCTGATCTACAAAGAGTGAATGCCTATATAAGTTGCCTTGGTTGTGGAAAACGGACACATCTGGCACTTGGGACTCGCTTTCCCTGCATTTCTTGCAAGAAAGGAGACACTGTAGCTGTACACAAGTATAGTGTTACCACTTAGCCTCGCATTACTTCCCTTACAGTAAAATATAATACACGAATTCACTTCATTTTTGTGTCCACATCTGCAGAGTTACATTCAAGTTTGAAGCTGTTGATGACACCGGCACAATGTCATTTACAACTTTCAGCGATGATACGGAAAAGCATTTCCGAAGGACAGCAACATAAATCTGGAATATCAAAGCCACTGTAAGAAATTCTGCTACTGCAACCATCTGTGCCTTTTTACAAGTTCTACACACTCAAATGTGTCTACACTTATATATGATAACATAAGTAGATACGGTATACATTTCACATTTAATACGCTTATCTGTATCATACAAAACCTTAAGTGTTTGTTACAATTGCTTATGAAAGATATACATTTTTTAAGTTCATGTTTCAATCATTACATTAAATAATGTATAGATTACTCATAGCATCTATAATACTTAAATGATACTTTTTGCTGTCTTAGGGGAATTTCGAAGCTTTTAAGGTTGTCCAAGCAATACTAGCAACAAAGCCTTTCTTCATTCAGGTAACTCCCACTTTGGAGTTAGCTAGGAATAGCGTTCTCTTATGGACTCTATAGACTGTTGAGGTAGAAGATGCAGAACCACAAGGCCAGGTTCTAGGCTCATCGTCTTCGCAGCTTAACAAAGAATAGCCTGCTTTCGAAACGGATAAGAAATACACAACAAATCGACCACTGATGCAAGAGAGTCCAGCTTCTGCCTGCACTAAGGCTCATGGCAAAGGACTCACTATTTCTGACCCAGAGCTAACTGTTGATTACAGTCAGGACAACACAGAGGCAAGTGATGAGGTCCTTGCTGAAATTGCTCAGTTTCATGAATTCAAGTAGCTTCTGAAGCATTCAATGTAGATTCTTTCGATATTCCAGTACATCAATCAAGAAAAGGGATTACCATTTCAGAATCAGCAGCACCAATTGCTGAACTCCCTACATGGAACAAGCTCGCTCGCACACGCAACAATGTCAAGAACAAACGGCCAATGGCTGTTGGTGAAATTATGGAATCAGATGATGAAGATCAGGGTCCGAGGAAGAAACTCAAAACATCCCTATTCAAAGACATTTCAGAGAAAGACAGTCCAGAAGACAAAGAAACAGCTTGAAGCCTCCTTGATAGACCATAAACAAAGGCAGCATAAAAAATCTTAGAGTACACTAGCTTTTGCTATTAAAGTGGTGGTAGTAAACTATTATTACGTATGCCTTGCGTAATCTGAAGTATCTTTTGAATGTTTAGAAGGAACATTTTGGGCATCTTATGTTCCCTATAAACATCAAGTATTGTATATAGTGCTAGAAATATGCAGCAGTGTCTGCTCTAGAATAATATCTAGGGGAAAGTACTGTAGTAGAACTGGAAACTTTTGGCATGCACATAGAAGTGGTAATCTACCTATGATGTAACATCTTGTATCCTTAAATTAGGATACTTATCTATAATATATGAAGTATGTTCTTATAACTTGCTACTTTGAGTTTAGAATTAAAGTTAGTAGATTGTCTTTCAATGTTGCAGAATATACTCTACAATACAAGTAAAGCCTTTGCAAAATTAAGTCCTTCCCTTATTCACATCTAAACACTTATCAGATTTTTACACTTCTTAGATTTTTACTTGAAGATTTTTTTTTTTTAAAAAAAAAAAAAAAGGAAAGCTGCATGCTTTATTCCTGTTTATAAGAAACAGTGTTACTACTCATACTGTCCATGGTCCCTTTAGTAAAGTAGTAACCTTGAATTTATGAATTCAGGTTCGTGCAAAAACAAGGGTATCAAACAGCCCGACCAAGCAAACAATGCAGCAAGGAAACTTTGACTCCTCTGCAGGACATAAAATCAGTCTGTCTCAGCTTAAGGTGTATTATGCTTTTTTTTGCATGAACCATCTTTAAATCTGAAACTACTATACTTATACGCTCGCAAATATTTTACATGCATATTTACTAATAACTACAAGAACTTATAATGCTCTCAATGCATACCCTTTCTAATGACATAAGGCATAAATTGTTATATACTTGCTCCCTATAACAATAAAACATTTATTGCTTCAGAAAACAATCTTAATTAGCTGGTGCAATACAATAGCCAAAACCTACCAGGCTTAATAAACTAACTGGTGCTTTATATAAGAGTTCAGTCACAATCGAAACCTAATGACCTATTACATACCATAAATGCACCACAGTAGTACATAAAAACAACATTTATCAGCTACATTTTATTATACCTACAATATCTGTATTACAAGCTAATTAACCAGCCAAACTTAATTTGGTGCAAGAAGAAATTCAAATAAAGGAGGATATCCTTCACGATAAACCACTAACGTTCTTACACCACTAATAATACACTGATCCTCATACAACATTTGAACACCATTTCTTAACGAGCAACCAACAATTACATTCCTTTGCTTGGCTATATGTAGTTCTGCACACCATTGCTTAAGTTTGTGCCGTATCAAAACAACACTGCAAGGTGGCATCTATTGAAGATAAATACTTGCAAAGGACACAGGGACAATCTGCACAAAACATCATTTACAAAAAAGTAAGCCACATTAAAAACTCATACAACTCTGCATTTAAAGGAAAGAAGAGAAAAAAAATCACATACAAGACTTCCTTCCCTAAGATATGGAGCACGAAATTTATACTTAAACGATGGATACGAACATCTTTGCTGCATTAAAGACAAATGAGCATCAAGATCTAAATTTCTCAATGGGAGCATTCTGTCAGGTATAACAGCTCTGGTTATTAATTCATGTGCATGCGTTTTTTCATGACCATGATGAGCAAATATTCTGGTATGCCATATACCATGTCCTTTGAAGTACATTATTAACGTATCTCCAACCACAATATCATTATCTGATATAAAGTTTCCTCACCCCCTGCCCATACGCATACCAATAATTCCGTTAGCATTAGTAAATCTAACAATAGTGATCTTCCATGATAGACCTTCCATACCACGAAATACTTTGCATTCTTCACCTTCATTAGCAAGAACATGATAAAATCAACCAGGAATTGCCTAAATATACATAGACAACAACACAGTCGTGTAAGAATCAACACAATAGAATAGCTATAACATTATACAACAAATAACACCACATACCGCTGATGCCTGATGCTCTTCTTCAATGCATAAAATCCATTTCAATAGAACATTATTGTTTGCCTAAGTTAACAGCAAGACATGTTTAGTTTTATAAGGGAAACGTGGAATAATAGCAAAACTGAACTGTAAAACAAACCTCTGTAAACATACCATAGCAGACGAATGAATACTACCATTCATATTAAACATAACCTATTTTATACAAATTTTACCCCAACACAAGCACCATATAATAACCACTGCAACTGTATCCATGTGAACCTATCTACACTATAATTACACTCAAATTCCTTCCAACCTTTAGATTCTCAATCATTACAAAATACATCAACCTTACTCAACAAAGCACAACAGGACAACATGAACTATTGTAGATTCTTTATACTTGCAGCCTATTACATTAATTTTCCACACACTCATAAACACACATAGAACTTAGATTCTTATAGGTACCCTCACTACATAAACCAATTCACTAAGAAAACTGTGAAACCATGGAATAAAGGGAAAAAACTTTATAAATCTGAAAAAATTGCACACCCTTTACAGGTTTACAATAAAGCATAACCAATTATACTCATAAGCAATAGACAAAAAGTACAAAAAAAACCCTTCAGAAGAAACTCAAGCATTATATATATACTTCATAATAAGAATCAAAACTACTGCCATTATCACCATCAGAATAGTCGCCAAGATCAGGACCACTACCTAATTCAAGTAGTCCATATGATCCTGGGACACAATCTACGTAGTCTTCAGTACATCAGTTAGACATTGAACCACTCTCCAACTCTTCATCACTCTTAAGGTCTTCCTCAATCTCGTCCTCTTCACCATTCTCACGGTCTTCCTCAGTCTTGTCCACTATATGAGACTACTTGTATATAGGAACAAGTACTCACAGGTGTTTGTTTCACCTTTATTTTAACCTTGTTAGCATACATTTTTCAAGTGAATTCCATTATGTCATTATCCAATTACATTTCTTGATACATATAAAGAGATTATCTATGGAATTCTATAAAGCATACTTATTAACAGGATACTATAATAAATATACAACCACGCAAAACACAAATTATATAATCAAATTAAGCCATTCATTATACCAAAAGCAAGAGCTTAATTTCAGATAATTAAAACCTACTATCATCCTTTACTAATTAAACTGATTATGAACTTCCCAAAAGCTAACTACGTATCTACATCTAACAATTCAAAAAGGATACCCAAACAATGAAAATCATCAAAATACATCAGCATAATCTGATATCAAAAACTAACAACCCAAAAAACAGTCCTACCAAGCCTTGACTTCATACCCTAGCAGTAGTGCAATTGAACCCCAAAAAAACACTTAACCATGAACAGTATACAATCAATCAACAATCTTCATACGAAACATTGAAGAATCTTCACGTGTCTTTGGATTTCCTTCTTCATTGTTCCCAAAAGAAGAGTCTGCACCAATGTTGTCATCATCATCCTCTTTATAGCTACCACCACTTGATTCCATTTCTTCATCTAAATCAGCAACACCTTCTTTCTTTGATTCAGTTTCTGAGTCAGAATTCAGATCACTTTCAGTACTTTCATCAGTCTCTTTGTCTTCCTCACTATCATCTTCTTCTTCACCGTCCTCTTTTTTCTCCTCTGCACCAACACCCTCCTTGCCTTTTTTGTCCCCTTCATCATTTTCTGAATCAACAATAATAACAGGTCATTCTCCACAGCCATTCCTCTCAACGCCTCGTCTTCTCTTATTACTTGTTTCCCCTCTTTCTTTGTTGTTCTCGACCTTTGAATTTCCTTGTTCAAGCAGTTGTAGATGACGGTCCATCTTCATCTTCATTTCAATGGTATACAAACGAAATCTTGCAACATTTTCTTTTTTAGATTTCCGTTCATTAGGCCTCCAACTTGGTGGTGAAAAAACCTTCCCGGAAGTCGCAGTACTATCGGTGCTACCCATTACCACGAAATTGGAATTGATATTTTAGAGAAGAAGAAAAAAAATGGAGAAGACATACAGAGCGCAGGAACAAAAACGCCACAAACCACGCAATATAAGGACATGAATTGACCAATCAATGTAATCATGACAGATTCTTCAAATAGTAAATAACTATGACTGTATGACTTCATCACTAAAGCCGTTCAAAATCCTTACATATTCTATTGTTGTACTTGCATTTTATAACAACATAAAAATAGAAAGTTCCTTTACATAGATATGATTATATGCACAATGTTCATACACACGTGCGTCAACCGCTTCTACTATCTTTAAATTTACATTCCGATTTGTCACGACACATAACGGTTTTTGACCAGTTTCCTATTTTTAGACAAACAACTATCACACAGTACAGCTTTTCACCGATAAAAAAAAGACATACTTGATTTTATTACTACTATTAACAACTTTGAAAGCGTACAAGATATTTATTATCTCATATTTTAACAACACCACGAATATCACAATAGCCAAAACGCTCAGCGAATATTGCTTATCTTGCCGTCGGGGGGGGGGGGGGGGGCACGCGTAACGCGCATGCTCCAACGACTAGTATAATAAAAATTGCAATAATTATTTGCAATCTGATACGCTAATATGGTGGAATGTTAACAATCTTTTATTTTCGTCATTGTCACTACTAGAAGTAGGCCGAATTCCGGCGGACACGAAAATCCGTCGCAAATCACAACAATTCCGACGGATTTCAAACAGTTCCGACGGAAATTTCGTAGGAAAGTATATTCCAACGGAAAAATCCGTCAGAAATAAAATAATTTCCGACGGATTTAAACCCGTCGGAAATTTCGTCGAAAAGGCATCTGATACTATTTATTTTAAACGGAAATTTCACAAAATTCCCCTGAGTTATTTTTTTATTCATCATATACCCATGCAAATTTTCAAATTCACCGTATACACTTGAGTTTCACAAAAAAGTCACCAAATGCCCTTAATGACTAACGACGGTTAATTCCATTAGTTATTAAGGTTAATTATGCCACGTGGCATGCTGCAATTGGTTCTCTTTTAAATAATTAATCAATTAATTACTTAATTTATAAAAAAATAAACCCACCCTCCCAGCCACCAGCTCCAATACCAAAGCAACCCCTGCAAGCGGCTGCTGGCGCTGGTGGTCCCCCTACCCCTAGCCAGAACTGGCGCCCGTGGTCCCGATCCGCCGGCGAACTCGACACCCCCCTCCCCTACCCCAAGCCCCCTCTCCCTTTGATTCCCCTCCCCTTAAACCCCTCCCCATCCCTCGAAAACCCCACCTCCTTCGCGGTCGGCGTCCAAACCCCTTCCCCGACGCCGACGAACCTTTTTTGCCCCACCCCCACCATACCCACCCTATTTCCACCCTAAACCACCACCCATAAAAACCGAAAAACCCCTTAATCGAAAAAACCCTAAATCAAAATCTAGGGTTTTGATTTTGGGGTTTTTCGTTTTTTTAGGTGGTGGTTTAGGGGGGAAAGGGGGTGGGGATGGCGGGGGGTGAGGTAAAAAAGGTTCACCGACACCGGAGGGGGGGTTTGGATGCCGACCGTGAAGGAGGGGGGTTTTTCGAGGGATGGGGAGGGGTGGAAACGGAGGGAGAAGGGGCTGGGGGTAGGGGAGGGGGGTGTCGAGGGTAGGGGGCAGGCCTCGTGGGCGAATAGGGACCACCGGCGCGCAGGGGGAGGGGTAGGATCTAGCGGCCGCCGCCGGCGCGGTCTTGTAGGGGCAGGTGGTGGGGCGTTGGGGTGGGGTGGGTCTTGGGTGGTGGGGTTTTTTTTTATATAATTTTTTAAAGTTTTTTTTAATAATTAATTAACTAATATTACAACAACCTATTAGAGGCTTCCACATGGCTTATTAGTCATTAATGACTAACGGCGGTTAACTGCCGTTAGTCATTAAGGGTATTCGGCGACATTTTTCTTAAACTCATGAGTATTTGGTGGATTTAAAAGTTTTGATGGGTAATTGGTGAATAAAAAAATAACTCAGGGGCATTTGGTGTAATTTCTGTATTTTAAAAAATAAAAAAATTTCTTATAAATAGCCCTAAAAACACTCCCCTCATTTCAGTTTCCTTTCTCTCTATCCTCTCTCTAGCCGCACACCCTCTCTCTCTCTTCTTTCTTCATCTACCTTCTCTCTGTATCTATCCTCTCTTGCTACTCCCTCTCTTCTCGATCTCCTTCGCTACTCCCTCTCTTCTCTTTATCTCTCCTTCATTGTTGATTTCCGAAGCTAGCCCACGAAGCACCCCGATGTATTTCCTGACCAAGTTCCCGGCATGTTATGGTTTTAAGGTCAAGTTCGACCATGGAAATGCTAGATCTAGCGTTTTCATGGTCGAATTTGGCCTTATATAACAATTTCAAGACTAACCATGGTTGAATCGTTGTGGTAAGTTTTTTGGTCTGAATTTCAATTTTTTTGTTCTGTTTTCATTTTTTATTTTGGGTTTAAAGTTTACTAGATCAAATATATGTGCTTATGGTGGCTGTTGGAGTTCGGGTTTAGGGTGTTGGGATTATATATTTTTTTCATTTTTTTTTGTTAATTTTTTCGGGTTTCGGAGGTTGTCTGATGTTGGATTTCGGCGGTGGTCTCATGTTGGGTTTTGGCGGTGGTTTTAGGTGGGTGGTGGAGGTGGTCTGTTTTCATTTTTGTTAATTTTTTTCGTTGTGTTTTCATTTTTTTGTTATGTTTTCATTTTTTCTTTCGAGTTTCAAGTTTTCATTTTAATTTTTTTTTTGTTATTTTTTTGGGGTTTCGGCGGTGGCGGTGGTGGTTTGCCTAGGTGGGGTGGTAGATCTGGTGGTTGTGGGTGGTGGGGTTGTTCGGGACTGTTGATACGAGTTAGGGGGCTGGTGGTAGTGTCGGTGTCTGATGTTGGGTTTTTTGGTGGTTGGAGGTGGTGCTACGCCGTGCTGGTGGTGGCCCGACGTATTTTTTTTAAATTTCAGAAAAGCATTTTCCAATCGAATTGATTCCGTCGAAATTTTCTGACAGATTATTGTAGTGCCTGAAAATATTTTTTCGACGGAAAATTCCGTCGGAATAGTGTTTCCGACGGAATTTTCGTCGGAAAAGTTCGTTTTTCCTACAACCGCTTTTCCGACAACCTTTTCCGATGGAATGCCGTCAAAAACCCTATTTCCGACGGATTTCAAGGTGTTTCCGACCGAATTTTTCCGTCGAAAATGGGCCTTCTTCTTGTAGTGTGTTATTTTATTGTAAAATACTAAAATTTATTTGGATTTTCTTGTTTTTCGGTGATAGTGTGTTATAGACTTTGCTTTATTTGCACATGATTTTGCCTAATATATTTAATCTTCCTCCAATCATTAATTAGTGAATAATTAGTAAGAAAACAAAAGGTGTCTTATAAGAGTCTGTTCTCTTCAGCTTAATTTCAATTCAGTTCACTTCCTAATTTTCTTATCTCATAAACAATTCAGTTCAGCCTTAACCAGTTCAGTTCAGCTCCAATCAGTTCACTTCCTAATTTTCTTATCTCATAAACAATTCAGTTCAGCCTTAACCAGTTCAGTTCAGCTCCAATCAGTTCAGTTTAGTTCAGCTCAGTTCAGTAAATCAGAATAAACCCTAAGTGTCTAAAAAAGGATGAGGATTATATATTTACGCAGTGAATGTTTGAGGAATTAGCCTTTTATATTTCTATAAAAATGGAATGTCAAGTTGAAATTGTTATTTTTCATAGTGTTTGCCTTCTTGAATTCTTACTTATCAAGGATTAATATTGGTTTGGTTTTGCTGTTTTTTATTTTATTTTTTTTATTTTATATAATCCTCCTATAATGTGGGGTGAGTGATTAGCTCATTAACTGTTGCGAGTGTCTTATTGTCTTAATAGATAGTATCTCGACCCCTTAGAGGTTAACTAAGATTTATACAGGTGAGTAGTTCTTAATGCTGCTTTGTTGGGCAACCTTTGGGTCTTTAACTGTTCTCAAATTGGTTTACTTAATCTTAATTCAAATTTATTATAGGATCCATTCAAAAACAATAAAAAAAAAGTTATTATAGGAAATATAATTTTTAAAGAGTTTTTTTTTACAATACACGTTTTTCTAGTAGCATCCTCAAATACACAAATGTTTTAATAACGCTGCAACATGAAACAATATTCTGTTTTCTTTTTTAAATCACACGTGCCAGGCAGTTTTTTAAAATTCATCAAAACAAATATTTTCTCTCTCTTCCTCATTTATTCAACAACGACTTTCTCTATCTTCTTTCTTCCTCAACTTGCCATTTTATCTCTCTTCGACCTAAAATTTTCGCTCTCTTCAATCCTTCTTCTTCAGTCGATTGTTGCTCTCTGCGTTTCAGTTACGAAGTTTATTTGTTAATTTTTGGTTTCTTTACTTAATTTTTTAAGATTTTTGTTAATTTTAGTTGTGTTTATTCTTCAATTTTTAGGTTTTTTGATTTTGTTTTTGTTTTCGTTTTTTGTAATGTTTGATTCTGCAATGGTGAAGAAGAATATTACAAAGAAGTCTTCAGATATTGAAGAAGTGCAAGTTATTTTTCGAGTTTGCACTTGATTTTTCATGCAGATTATGATAATTGACATTGAAATTTGAAGTTAATGTGTTTAATTTTGCTTTATATTATTGTTTAATGTATATAATTGGTTAAAAATTGGTTATACATGTGTTGTTATATGTTAAACAACTTTTGCATGTTATTTTTCAGAATTTTTGTTTTGATTTTTTTAAGGGAGATTATGATAATTTGTATTGATAATTGTATTTACTTGTTTATAAATTGCTTATTATTCTTCAGAAGTTGTTCTTTGTTATTTTTTGCTTAGGTTTTATGCAGAGAATGCTAATGAAAACTGATTTTTGTTTTAGTTCGAGTACGAAAATAGGCATATGTGTCATTGTGTTTCGAAATCAAAGTAAAAGGGAGTAATAGGCATATGTGTCACTAATATGCATGACAAGGGGTACTTTATGCTGTTAAAAGGGTCACTTTATGCAGTTTAAAGGGTCACTTTGTGTAGTTACAAGGGTCACTTTTTGCAGTTAAAAGGGTCACTTTTGTAGTTTATATTTTGCCTAGGGTAGCTTATGAATTGATAATTTGTTGTAATTTATAAGTTGCTTATTGGTGCTAATTTTTTTCTGTATTAATCAGATATAGGTGGTTCTATAGGTGGATATCGCTATAAAGAGTCTGCTACGAAGGCCAAAGTAGTATCTAAGAAGGTCAAAGCAGTACCTAAGAAGGCTAAAACAATGCTTCAAGAGTCTCTTAAGGGTAAAATAGTGCCTAAGAAGGCCAAAACTATGATTGAAGAGGCTTCTAAGGGTGAAATAGTAACTAAGAAGGCCAAAACAATGCCCAAAGAGTCTGCAAAGGAAAAAACACAGTACGTAAGAAGAGAAAGATAAGTCCTCAATTAGAATTGGATTCTGATTTTGACCTTGATACTTCATGTAAGAGAACTTGTTTTCAATGATTCTTGATTTGCATTTGTTTATGATATTGTTTTATTGACATTTTTTTTTTGTTTTTTTTTACAAGTAGGTGTAGACCATATAGAGGGACCAAAGACCTTTGATTACAAGGTGTAGACCATATACCTTGGAAAGCTTGGTGCAGAGCTTTAGTGTTAATAAAAAACAAGATGTTGAAGAAGTTGGTTTTGGTGGTTTATTACATTTAAAGTTGAAAGCTCTCTGTCGTAAAATGCTACCTTGGCTTGTGAAAATCTTTAATGGTGGTAGCTGCCTGTTTACTATTGGTAGTGGTAAATAATTTGTAGTTACTAGGAATGATGTATGTGGCGTGTTTTGTTTTCCTATGGGTGATATTCCTGTTCCTGAACTAAAGAAAAATGTTGAAAATGCAAGTGTAGACAACTGTATTATTAAGGCTTGGAGATTTGATTTTGATATTTCTGATAAGCAAGCTATCCCTTTGCCAAAATTAGAGTCTTGGATAAAGGCTTTGGTTGATGGAGGGGAAGAATTTAAGAGGTATTTTGTTGTTCATGCTATGTTTAGCTTTTTAGCTCCTGCTACTAATAGGAACGCTTCATTGAAGTTGCTAAAGATTGTTGAAGAAGTTGATGAAATCAAAACTTTTGATTGGTGTTCTTATGTTTTGAAGAAGTTAAAGAAGGATGTGGATAACTATAACAATGAAACAACTGCTCAGATTGTTAGTGGATGTTTGGTGGTTTTCAAATTCTGTATTTTCATCGTTTAAATATTTAAGGAGTAAAGGAGAGTTGTAGTATTCCTTTTATTCAGCATTGGACAGATGCTAAGATTAAGAGTTGGATTAATTTATAAAGCTGGTGGTTTTGGACAGGGACCATTGGATACCACTACGTATCCTGTGTCACAGTTTGCTATTAGCCAATCTGTTGTTGTTGTTGTTGTTAAGAAACCTCTTACTTTGGGATCTAGTCAGGATGGTTTAAAGTTATTGGTGCTTCTTCAAGTGGTACAATTGGCTGCTTTATTCAATTAGAGCTTCCAGAAGGTGTGATGACTGATGATGAAATAAAAGAAATTTCAACTAATGTAAGTGTTTTTTTATATGTTTAGTAGTTACTCTATTATGTTTACAAAAGTTACCCTTTATTTGCACAAAAGTTTCCCTTTATGCGTACAAAAGTAACCTTTTATGTGCTCAAAAGTTGCCCTTTTTGTGCACTAAAGTTAAAGTTACCTTTTTTTGCGCACTAAAGTTACCCTAAATATTCAGTTTTAGTTACTTTTTTATTATTTTTCTTTGTCACATTTGTTTAATTTTTTCTATGTTTGTAGGCTATTCATGAATCATTTATTTTTCTTAAAAGAAACATGGATGTTCAATCAAGTGTTCACGCAAATGGTTTTAAAACCTTGAGTGATTTGGTTTCCAATTTTCTTTCTAAAATAACTGTTTTATTATCTTCTAAGGATACTGTTGCAGTTTCTCAAACTCAACAGTTACTTTCTGATCCTCATTACCATAAGCTTATAGATGGTATAATTGAGGATTATATTAAGATGAAGTTTGCACATGAGTTGTTTCGTGAAGTGTAAGGTTGTCAACAACGTAATAAGGATGATGTTCATGAAGTTAATGCTGATGTTGGTGGTGTTAATGAAAATGTTCCTGTTCCTGAAGTTAATGATAATGTTGGTGGAGTTAATGAAAATGTTCCTGTCCGTGAAGTTAATAATGATGGTGGAGGAGCTAATGAAAATGTTCCTAGATCTAATGAAGTTGTTTCCGGGCGTATTATTAGATCCAATAAATCTTTATGCTCACTGGACTGTGGGCTAGTAGGTCAGAAAGTGTTTTTTGTTACTTTTTTTTAGGGGTAATGCTCAGATTTTCAACAGTTTGCCTTAGTTAAATTTGGAAGTTCTAGATTATTGTTTGCTGAAGGAAGAATCAATGCATAGGAAATTAAGTGTCATTCTCTATTATTACTATTACTATTATTTTTTCCCTTTAATTTTTTTAATGTTGATCTTATTTTTTTTATCGTTGTAGTGAGAATCTTGCGACTTTTGAAATGAATTTTCTAGTTCCAAGAGAAGATATGGTGTCCCTTGTTGCTCCACTTAGGATTCGATGGTGCATTATTGATTGCTTTTCTCTGTATTTGAACGAGAGAGCATTTTTTTTAGTCTTCTGGTCCTCGAAAATTCTATTTTGGTGTTAGGCAAAGTGTAAGTAACTTGATATTTTTATATTTAAACACATTGACTTTAATTTCTATATAAACAAGATCTTATACTTTAATAGTTTGCGTTGTTGTATGTTTGTGAAAACATTGGGCAAGGTGACATTTCTAGTGTTGTTAAGGATTTGCATGAAGGGTGGGTTAGCTACGAGGATCCTGAATGTGATATAATGGATGCCGAAGTGGTATGCTTCATGCTAAACTAATATAATACCATTAAAAGAGTTATGTCTGTAAAATGCTCTGTCTAAATTACTTTTAAATTTTCCATTTCAGATCTATATTCCTATTCTTATTGAGAATCACTACATTGTGTTTGTTTATGATCATTCAAAAGAGTTGATGTATTATCTTAACAATATTATTTGGCGTAATTCTAGTCTTGACTACTTTAGAGATTTGTCTTCTCAAGTGGTACATTTCTTGTTAAAAGGGTCACTTTTTGTAGTTAAAAGGGTCACTTTTTGCAGTTAAAACAATTACTTTTTTACTTTAGAGTTTAACCTTTTTTATGTATTCAATGTATTCTAATCTTTTATATTTTTTCATCAATGTGATCAATTGGGTGCTTTTCTTGGCAAAATAAATTGTTGAGTAAGAATGGAGAATGGATAAGTTTGACAACTTGGACTGTGGAGTGTTTGTCATGTACGACATGTTCTATTTTTGTTGGTGAATCATTCAAATTAAATGAACTCAAAACGGTAATTATTCATCTATATGTCTTTTGTTTTTCCCTTTCTGATGTTTTATTAATTTCATATTGATAATTTTTTGTTCTCTATTGTGAGATTACCGGAAGAAAATTTCTGCTTGGACATATCTGCACCACACTCGTATTGTGTGATATGAATGAAATCTATAACTGATGTCTTGTCAGAATTAGCCAAGTTCAATGAGAGGAAGAAAAATGCTGATATGTCAAGGCAATTGAAGTAAGAAGAAAGGCTGCAATTGTTTAGAAGAAGAAGAACGAAGCTGAGGAAAGAAAAAATAACGCAAAAGAAAAAAGAAAGCAAAAGAAAAAACAAAAGCAGAGGTAGAAGAAGAAAAGCCCAAAGATAAAAGGGAAAAAAAGCAAACAAAGAAGTACACTCATTCTAAAGAGTGAAATGACTTTTTAGTGATTAGGTGTAGAAGTATTTTATGAAAACTTAGGGCCTGTTCTCTTCCGTTGAAATTCAGTTCAGTTCAGCTCTTAATTTACGTCTAATGATATTGCTAATGATATAAAGCCAAATTTCATTCTTTTAAGCTCTTATTACAACGACAACAACAACAACAACAACAACAACAACAACAACAACAACAACAACAACAACAAGAGTAATAATAATAATAATAATAATCAATAAGTAATAAATAATAATAATAATAATAATAATAATCATCATCAATAAATAATAATAATAATAATAATAATAATAATAATAATAATAATAATAATAATTGAAATAATAATACTAATAATAATAATCAATAAATAATAATAATAATCATCAACAAATAATAATAATAATAATAATAATTAATAATAATATTATTATTATTAATAATATGTACATTTGTATATACACATATGTATAATAATAAATAATCAAAGATCACTAATCCGTAGTTAGAAATCACTAATTAATAAGTTCAATTTAGTTCAGTTCAGCTCAGCTCAGTTCAGTTCAGTTCAATTCAGTTCAGTTTAGCTGAGTTCAGTCAATCGGAACAGGCCCTTAATGTATGTGCATACATCAAGTGCAATGATGTAATTAAATTTTTATAAGGTATAGTTTTTGGTGGTTTTTTTCTTTCTTTTTTTTTTGAAAATTAAATGTATTTTTTGGATGCTTTGTTTTGAAAACTGAATGTATGTGCACACATTAAGTAATTTGAAATGTTATTTTGTATATATCTTTCTTTTTAATTGTGCATTTAAAAAGAGAAAAACATGCACTAAAAAGGTCACTTCATACAGGTAAAAAGAGTTACTTCATGCAGGTAAAAGATTCAATTTAGTTTTTTATGGGGTCACTTTAGTTTATAAAAGGGTACGTCTATGCATGAAAAGGGTAATTTTGGGTAGAAAGGGTAACTGTTTAAGGGATTTTTTGACTTTACCACCAAAAAAATCATGAAATTGTTTTTTAATGCCAAAAATTTTAAAAGTTGTATTTTACCAACAAAAAAATTTCTAATTCTTTTTTTTCACCACCTAGCGTCAAGAAAACCGTTAAATTTAACGTTTAAATAAAACTCTTCAATTTTCGTGCGCAAAACATGTTGTTCATAGGTTTAGGGGGGCATTTTGGTCCTATGTGTCCAATTTGAAGTCAGAATTGACAAAAAATGATCGGAAATGCCTCATTTTGCGTGTTTCTTGCAAACCGAGATATTTTTAAACACGCAAAATGAAGTATTTCAAATCATTTTTTGTCAATTTTGACCTCAAATTGGACCCATAGGGCCAAAATGCCTCCCAAAACCCCCTAAATATGACGTGTTTGGCACGAAAATTGAAGAATTTAAAATATTCCGTTTAGTTTTTTTACTGCAGGTGGTAAATAACAATTTTTAGTTTTTTTTTGTGGTAAAATAAAACTTTTAAAATTTTTGGTAGTAAAAAACAATTTCATGATTTTTTTGGTGGTGAAAGTAAAAAAAATCCCTGTTTAAATCCTGGGAAAACTATATTTGGAAGCACCTACATTCAAAGTGAGTGGCTAACTTTATACATTAAAAAGGGTCATTTTATGCACTAAAAAATGGTCACTTTTGTGGGTAAAAAAGGAAACTAAACATGTGCTACTTAAGTAATAAGAGTATCATTCAAATTTTAACCAAACTAGTCATAGAGTAAAACTAAAAAAAAAGTATAACAATACAAAGTAATATAACAATAATTAAAAAAAAAAGTTCTAAAGCAGGTAATAAATTTTTTTAAAAGAGTTGTATGTTAGGTGTCTTTGATACAAATTCTTAATGAGGAGGTGGCAGTACTGGTTTCTTTTTTCTCCTTCCTTTTCAAGTCCTCATTTTATTCTCTTGCTTCTTCCTTTTGTTACAACTCTTTTAGGATCAAGTATATTTGGTACACTTGTGCTTGTAATGGATGCTGAAAAAACATAATTGCTCTAAGTGTTGTCTGCCACATCAGGAATGTCAGAAGCAGCTTATGAACCTTCTTCTCTCTGAGCAGCAGTGGCAAGTAAGTCTTTCACCATTTTTAGACTATTTCTGAAGCTTTCTTCCATAAATGCTCTTGTCTCTTCATTTTCTTCACGTTTTAAGATTAGATTGTAGTATTTCCTCATCATAGTTTGCCTCCATGGTATATATGGTTGTGTAGGATCCCGACTCTTCAATCAATTCCATGTCTCTGTTTTTGCAAACTTAGTCCATCTTTTTGTAACATACTTGTATGGTATTCTTGTTACTGAATGTAGGTGTAGAATTCTAATACAATGATAACATAACCATCTAGATGCATGCTTCAAAATTTTTTCAAGTACACCATACACTTTGGCTCTCACGTATATAGTTTACATGATGTGCAGACTGTGGCTTGTCTTCTAGGGTTACTTGATAAAGTAGACATTCTTCAGTCGCCCCTATCATTTGAACAGTTGTTGCCATAGAGTATCCAAAATTCTCTTCAAAGTCTCTGAAGAGTGACAAAGTGAATACCTGTTCACCAAAATCATGTAGCTAGATTTAAGCTGTTATATATTTTGTGTTATTTCTGTACTTTTGAGCGAACTTTTTATCTGTGCAGCATGCTTTAGCATTCTAAACAGTAGAATTGAAGTGAATGCTATTGATTTGCTACTGGTAAACTCATCATATTTCTA